ACAATAGCATCCAAAAAAATGAAATATCTAGGAATCAACCTAACAAAGGAAGCAAAAGACCTCTACACCAAAAACTGCAACACTTTGAAAAAGGAGATTGAGGAGGATATAAGAAAATGGAAAGACATCCCTTGTTCCTGGGTAGGAAGAACTAATATAGTGAAAATGACCATACTTCCAAAACTACTATACACATTTAATGCAATGCCAATTGAAATTCCAACAATACACCTCATAGATCTAGAGAAAACAATCCAAAAATTTATTTGGAATCAGAAGAGACCTAGAATAGCAAAAGCAATTCTAGGCACCAGAGACATGGCTGGGGGTATCACAATCCCCAACTTGAAACTATGCTACAAACTACTGTGATAAAAACAGCATGGTACTGGCAAAGAAACAGACCCCAGGATCAGTGGAATAGATTAGAAGGTGCAGAAACAACTCCAGGCAAACTCATCCATTTCATCTTTGACAAAGGAGCCAACCACCCTCATTGGAGGAAAGATAGCCTATTTGATAAATAGTGTTGAAAAAACTGGATTTCAACCTGTCAATGATTCAAACTAAACCCATACCTATCACTATGAACTAAACTAAGATCAAAGTGGATTAAAGATCTAAATATTGGAAAGGAAACACTAAAATTGATGGAAGACAAGTTAGGTAGAACTCTTGATGACATTGGCATAGGAAAAAACTTTATGAACAAAACCTCAGCAGCACAGGAACTAGCACAAAGAATCAACAACTGGGATCTCATCTTATTAAAAAGCTTCTGCACTGCAAAAGAAACCACCAACAGAGCTAACAGGCAACCTACAATGCTGGAAAAAAATTTTAGCAGCTGTACCTCAGACAAAGGACTACTACCTAGAATATATAAGGAATTGAAAAAAATCAGACCCCCCAAATTCAAAGACCCAATTAGAAAATGGGCATCTGAAATGAACAGACATTTCTCAGACAAAGAAGGAAAAGCAGCAAATAAATATACGAAACAATGTTCAACATCACTGGTCATTCGAGAGATGCACATGAAAACAACACTGAGATTCCACCTCACCCCAGAAAGAATGGCTGCTATCAAGAAATCAACCAATAACAAATGCTGGCAGGGGTGTGGAGAGAA